CGAACTACTAGAGGGAGATCACGAGTAAACGTATACTAATAGGCCCAACCCATCAATTAGCGGTACCGCGCATGAGAGGGTTAGCACTTTAGTGCTTTTATGTGAGGTAGCTAACCTGCATGGCTTCAGCAATGACTGGAATGGGAGATTCGCCACGGTTATTTGTACCAACTCCATGTCTTGTTCGCAAACGAATGAGGTGTTTCAGATCATGCTGATGAAAAAGTGAACCCTCAGCGAACAGCGCATGCGCGGTACCGCTAATTGATGGGCTGGGCAATTAGTAATTAAGGTACCAGTAAGGGGGTGTGTCTCGCCAATCGACGCGAGTCGCGACTCGTTCTATCCCCTGGTGATGTAGCGAATAGCGCTGCTATTTTCGCTTCGGTCTGTGTAACCGGAGTTTAGCAATTTGAATATTGCCGGCCGTTTAGTCCGTTTGCTCATGCTCCTATGCGCATCAATACAAACGGCGCGAAATTCAAATTGCTATAACTCCGTACACCGACCGGCAATGCAGCGCTATTCGCTACATCACCAGGGGATCGAACGCATGGCCTGGGCCGGGGCGTTATATATTGATGGGCCAACTCTCCTATATAGCTACACACACCCAGTGTCCCAACCTCCCTTACACATAGTTAGAGATAAATGGGATAGAGATTATATACAAAGAACGGCAATACAGGATAAATCAACAGCCCAGTAGAATAATAGAAAGCCTTAAAGCATGAAAAATATGGAAAACTCTGAAACTACACAGTACGACGATGCAAACGTAGATAGACGTGCGATTGCTCTAAATAACGCACAGCATATACACGTGTAAGAAAAATAGAAAATGTATATGTCACCAAAAATATACATTCTATCTATGCGAGATATGGCAACTATATAGGGAAGATATTCTAGTGATGTACTTCTCAAGAACCTTTCTGTTCAGATGGTAGCCAACTGACTCCATACGGGGAGATTAAGAGGTCAGGCAGAGGTCGTTGTTTTCACCTACTATTGTTGAAGTTGCTCTCCATGGGCAGTAACTTGAGTGGGCGTATATTGACCTCACCACTTTCATACATAGCATCAGCTTTCCTGTAGTATTTCTGTGCACAGGTCACAGCTACCGTTGCATCATTCGGCAGTCAGGTCGGGAGCACTCCCAGCGGGACTCTGGAGCTCCACCTCCCTTGCATTGAGGCATACCTGGCTGTATCAGATGCAGATAGCCAACGTTGTACATTATGTGGACGGCTTCAATTCAGTGTCTCGGCATTGAATTGGAGAGCTACTGTCAAAATCCTGATTAGGGTAAGCTCTGCCCCTTGCTCCCATTGGAGATAATTCATCGACGACATCAATTCTTGAGAGTATAGCTCCTCCCCTGCTGCATACTACCAACATTATCTTCCCCAACGTGACGGAGCTTATCTGCATAATACATCTTGCATTGACATTAATGGGGTCTTTGACCTCATAGACATTATGCTGACAGACATCACTTGTGTACAGGAAGTAAGTCTAGTTCAGTTTGTAATCAGTCTGGAATGTGCGTATATGCAATCCTGGAGTGTTGACCGACTGCCTGCAACATAGGCTTGGCCGACTGATCTGCCACCTCTCATATCCACAACTATTTCATCAAGTGTTAGACCTTGTACTTTGTGTATTGTGGTAGCCCATCTAGTGTCAGTGGGAACTGCAAACGCTTGATTTCAGATCCTCGTCTTCCTTTCGCAAAAATTTCATGTTTGGTCAAAGGCGCAGCATTAGGAAATCTAGACCAATGTGGGCTAGTTTGAATTGATTTAATGCCAACTCTATTATTGTCAAACTTTACAAGGACACTAGTGACAGTACTACTTCACCTCAAGCACCATTCACAAGACCATCTAATACATCAACATTTGCTGTTAGCATCACACGAGCACCAATAGCTAGTTTGAGTGTATCGTGAAGACCGCCCGTTTCAGATCTTTTGTCCGACAGAGAGGAGAGAGAGAGAGATATGACCGGTCTGACAAGCTACAGAATCAATGGCTTTCATCGCTAACTGTGCACTCTGTGGAGCCAATTTGTTCAACATATTAATATGGGTGCTTCTTGTGTCGACAAGTAAAGCATGGCCTGGGTAAGCAACTGTATCTGCTGCTATTTCATGCGATTTTAGGGTTCTAACATCATCAGATGTGCAACTGTTGGTTCTAACTCTGTACAATAGCTCTGATGATGCAAGGTCACCTCTTTGCCTCATTACCTCAGTTAGTTCTAGCATCAGGAAATGGTCAACACAGAATGAGCCTGAGCCATACAACTGGGCATAACAGTCACTCACAGTGCTAAACAGTGGAGCCAACTGGTTGTAGCTAACTGATACAGGTCTCCCACAGCTAAGATACTCACACCACCAAGCGTTTTATCGTCTGATACACCACTTATCTGCTGCAGTCTTTTGTGGATTTCTAGCAACATTGCAACCAACCATGCTTACTTTGTCAATAATCACAAACATCAAACGTGACAGTTTGGTTCGTAGTGTGTTCAGTCTGTCATGGCTAAGAAGCTGAAAACCACTGTATTTGCTAGGGATATATAGTACACCATGAGTTTAGCTCTATACAAATTGATAAGGTCAGTCTCTTCATTATACTTCCTGAATCTAATCTCAAAGCTTGTTGCTTTCGCTTGTTCATTTTAACCAAGTGTGATTTGTGTGGATGTGACATCACTCTCAGGGGCTGGTAATCATTACGCTCATACCTCACAACAAAATTATGTGGCAGCAAACTCAGCTAGACACATGGAACTAAGCTGCTGTGGTCTGTGCTGGTATCGATCAATTGGGGTCTTTTGGAACACATTTGTATCACTGTCCTCTAGTTGATTAAGAGATGCGTTGCCTTTCGATACAGCAATTCTTTCATTTTTGGGGTTAGTAGTAACAAACAACAGATCTACTAAGTTGCTTCATTGGCAGTGACAGTATTCTACACACAGCTTCTTGTGCACTAACTTCTCTGTGTGTTAGGAATACTGAGCCTACTTTTCTCAACTGAGATTTCAATTCATCAGTCCTTGCTTCAGCAGAAGCACGTTTCAAGAGCTCACCCATAGATCTTTCCGTTTTCATGATATATGATGCTACATACATGATACAGGCTTATGCGTTTAGTACAAACTGAATGTCCATGTTAGCTTGCCATGCTAGCATTACTAAAGGATTGTAGTTGTTAATGAAACATTCACCAGGCTCATGCTTGAGTACCACAACATTGCCATTAGTAGACACTTCTAATGCATCTATGTAATCTTTCTCAGTAACCTCTGCTTTGTCAAGTAACTCAGCATGGCTCAAATCTGCATTACCGTCAGCTATCAACTTTTGTACTTTACCCAACACAGCGAATTCTTGGTTATTGTCACCACGTTCAATATCATCTTTTGTAATAAGGGTTTTGGAACTGGGGGGCTTAGGAAAACTGATTTTACATGTTTTGTTTCTCCTGTAGCTAATGAAAAGCACTAAAGTGCAAACCCTCGGCTCAAAATGCGTACATTTTGTGGTTTTGTAAGCTAGGTGGGCTATTTCGAAAGTGGTTCGTATCAAACAGTTATTTCGCTTAACAGTGTTCGTATTAATGAGGTTCCACTGTAACTACAAAATTGAATATAGGATGAACAAATTGGATGAAGGGTATCTGCTATATGTGAGTTCATTAGTGCTTATCAGAGTAACCAAATGACATGTTGTTGCAAGTATGCAGTAACACAGTTCAGCTATGAGAGGAGCATTATTGTGCATTGAACATGACGGGATGGAGAGTGTCTGTGCTTTGATAATATATAGCTCAGAGGGATCCTTCAACGTAGAAATGAGAGTTCTTCTTTAATCCTGTCATGTATGATGGATAGCCTGTATAGGAAGGATGGTAATACCGATAAAATTGGTGAAGTGATGTACATAAAAACATAGCACTACTCCATAGTGACTATGTATACCACACTCAAAGGCTCTCACATTCGCTTTTTGCATTCTACTGTGCTTCGTTGCTTGGGATATATTGTCAGACTGGGCTTACGCTTAGATGGGAAGGCATGGCCGCATCCACAAACTGCTCGTCTAACGTGAACTGCTGTGCGACATACTTCGCTCAGTTTGTTGTCCATCGAGAACAGAGATCAACACTGACAGAGGAGAGAAACTCAAGAACCGCTTGCACAACTAAAATAACCACGTGGCATCTCGCATATGCGCATGCGATAGCCACGGCAACATACGCGCGTGCGCGATGGATCGCTCGCGTCTGATGCTCCGGCAAACGGTATACACCCACATACGCGCGTGCGCGATGGATCGCTCGAGTAAGCTTTTCGCTTGTTTTCACGCCATATCTCTGGAACGCAGTCGTTTCAGGAAAATCGCCACATTAATATCAATCTTTCTCGTCGTTCAAAACCCGTTGGTGCCACTCATTGGCCGCCTCGTAGCCTGTAGTGCTAGAACTCGCGAGGACAGCGGACAGACAGACACTGTAACGCTCGCTGCGCATGCGCGCCGAGGGTTACTCATGGCGTCCAAAGGATTAATGCACAGGGAGCATGCTCTCGGCACGCTTGCATGTGCAGAAAGATTTTCAGTAAATTGACATTGGTTTCTTTACACCCTCACTGAGCAGAGCACACATACTAGCCTACTATGGGTATGGCGCTATTGATGCTAACGTTCAGGTTCAGGTCAGGGATGCAAGGACTCAATGATGAGAGTCTGGAGGGAGGGAAGGGATGAAAGAGTCTGTGTTGGTGTGTGTGTGAGTATCCACTGTACATTAGTTGACCTGCAGAGGAAGTTTATCAGATTGCTTCTGGTGAAATGCAAGGTGCCACTGGTAGAAGAGGTGAGCTAATTATGTGTGTTTGAGTTGAGACAGACACCAGTTTAATAATGGTTCAAACCATTGATGTGGTACACATGCTGGTAAACTTTATATTGTCTTAATTTAGAGGGAGCTGAGAATATCTCATAAACACATACATTATTATACAGTCAACACAACAAATGCTGTAGTCTTACAAATCCTCGTGTGACTAACTAACGACTCTATGTAAACGTATGACCGTCGTCATCAATAATCAATATCCTCAGGGGCTAAGGGAGGAGGAAGTGGAGGTGGGGGAGTCCCTTCATCACAATCAATCTCGGTCACCTCTAGAGAAAAAACTGCAGCTTCCTTGTTATAAGCAACTCCATGTCTGTGGCTAAGGGAGGAAATGGCAGGGGCCCCCTCATTATCTCTAATTAGAACCTGTGTGGAGGGATTGGTGGAGCCCCTTCATTATCACCCGATGTGGCTTTGCGTGGGGGCAGAACTGGGGCAGTAGTCTTGTCTGGGATTGGGAGCTCCACCTCTGGATCATATTTGACTGGGAGAGCCCCTGCAATAAATGTATTACTAATTGGCAAGCGAAGTGATGAAGCGTCAACATTGTCACACATGTTTTGCACGTTGTATGTACAGTGCCTGTTATATACATCATTAAAACGACAAGGAAGGCCAAGTGCAACATTCACGCTGTTTTAGATGTGCATAGGAACCTACAAGGTGGTGGCCAGTTTAGTTGACTAGTAAATCTTCCTGCATTCCTCTGCCCAGTTTTATGGTTGTATGGTCAGTGGCTACTTTGTAAAGACTACAGTCATTTACTGTCAGTTCGAAGTCACGAAATCTGCTGGTTAGCATTTTCGTTGTTCATTGTTCTTAGCTCGTAACCCATGTTCATAACCTGTTTTTCTTATGGCATACTATGCATTAGGTAACCAACAACAATTTTCGTGACTCAAAACTTAGTCTTATATGAAGTAACAAGGGCATTTAATCTTATCTGAGGTCCAAAGCTCATGCTGCTATGTTCGTTTGCCAAACACCACATCGAAAGTTTCTGGTTGACTAACCGAAAACAGTAAATTGAGCCAAAGCCACAGTTATTGCTGAAAAGTTTGGGTAATTATGGTGAATGCATGCTCAGGTGGGCCTAAAAAAACACAAACAGTCTGGACATTTCTGTTATGTACACAGACACTGGTAGACTATAGAGCATAAAAGTGAAAGTCCCATCTTGAGAATCTAGCAGGAAAGAGTGTATGTATTATATTGATGAGGTAGCGTACACAAGGCCGCTCCTGGATAAACAACTTTGCGCGGAAACACAATCATTCTCACCATTTCAGAAAAACAGTTGTTGTGGAAATCATTTACCATGCTACAATAAAACTCACCGGTGATGTAAGCAGTGCTAAAGGCTTCGGATAGCTTGTTGAAACCAATCTGCTCACAGAGAGAGGACACATCTGACCACCTCACACACTCCTTTCTCTCATACCACCGAAACACAACCTCTGCCAATTTTGCACTGTCATCACCCAACTCCACATTAATCTGCAAAACAATGTTTTTCTTATGCTATATACCATGTTCACAATCAGCTAGCTACATTCCGTCCACTGTAATGAATGTGTCATCAACGACGTATAGAAAGGCAAGTTAAAGCAGACAAGTCAACTACACCCAGGATAACTCTTTCTGGAACTACCCTTCCCACTTCCTCTGCTTCCTGCCTAATTAAGGTCCATAGAATTTCAGTTAATCGTGGTGACCTTAGAATAGTGTGATTCGAAGCTACGGCACTGCATTCTAGGTGAGTGCTCTACCAACTCATACAGTGGTTTCTGTTGTGATTATGAGGTCACACACACCCATTCCTAGTCTCCCTCTCCAGTCCAGCAGCCTCACCCAGGGCACACCAACACGACTGTACAGTCCTCAGTTGGAGCAGGATTAAGTGAACACTGATATCCTTGTCTGATAGTGAATAAAGGTACATTGTTATTACTAATATAAAGCTCAACAGTCAATCTCAATAATAGCAGTGTCTCAAGTAACTTTCGAATTTTCAGACTTTGTTTGAAATAGCTACTGAGCACTTTGATATAAATTGAGAAATTTTTAGCTGATTTATGCTAAACAACTAATCCTTTCAGTTGATGGGCACTTTTTACTGCAATACTATATACCATTATGGAACAAGTTTTTCACTTCATTTTTTACGTTTCACAAATTTGTCACCCCTGTAGTATGGATAGTATTACACAGTCACCAATTGGTGAACCCGACTTCTAAAGTTGACTATCAAACTTTGATAAATTCTTGCATTTGCTTAAATGTGTAACTTGTTTTCTGTGATATTTTAGATGAATATTGTGAAAAATCTGAAAATAAGGAACTGAAATTTATGTAAAAGCTTTTTGTGCATGATATAATAATCTGCCTAGTGTAATTGTGGGCATTAGGAACTGCAAGCACTTGAATTATGTATTCACATAGAGTTTGCATTCAAACAGAAACTGTTTGTTGCTGACCAAGGGGATGAAGATCAGTGGGTTTTGCATTGTTTTGCTCCTGGTCCCCTTGACCCTGTGATCGTCCATTGTTAGAAACGACCTCGCCTTGAACAGGTTCCTGTGGTTCTTCACGACATGGCTGCTTCTCACTGGGCTCTCGAGTACTGGACAGTCTCTCTGTCACTGGTGGTGGTGGGAGAGCTGAGCTGGTGGTGAGGAGCTCAATCTCAGCATATGTTCCAATGAACTAGTGAGAGTATAAAATGGTTTATAACCATAATATTATGAAAACATTATACACAGTCTGAAAACCTTCACTGAGTGTACTGCTTAGACTCTGGTAGCTATCACATGAATACTAATGGTAATAGGGAAATCGTCCCTAAAAATTACTCTGTAACTTTCTCTCTTCCAACCAGCTAATAGACAGGATATTTTAGTAATAAAGTGTTTTGTATAAATGTGTACCAAATATGCAAATTTGGGAGGAATTGACATAAGGAAATAGTCTGAGAGTAAACAGTGAAAGTATCGATGTGGGAAGGTTGAAAAAACCTGAGGGTGGATGTCAATGTTTGAGTCCAAACTTGGCTGTGCTACTGAAAACATGACAGCAGAAATGTGTGCACACACAGCAGAGGAAGAAGCAGCTACACTTTAATGAGGGAACACACATACCTTTCCTACTGTACACTCACCACAAAATGATGGTGCCAATAAACACCTAGCTGCAATTGTGACCTCTAAATAATTGTAACAAGATAACTACATCCTAAAAAAGAATCCTAAAGTGAAGCATGTTTTGAAATACACTAAGGAAAAACCTGTGGTAAACCTTAGACTTAGTTTGTTGAAGCTCACATTATAGCTACTGAAATGCGTGCTTATAATCTCACATTATCTGAGGAGTTGCATCGACCTGTGTTCATTACTGTGCTGTATTGACCTGTACAGTCTCGCTCTAAATACTTTATGGTAGCAGTAATCTGCAACAAGGAACAAAAGTGTGAACATTACAACAGTGCCATGTATAGGAAACAATCAGGCGATTCGAACAGCTGGGTATGTTCTGATGCAGATCGAGGGGAGCCAGACCCTTTCTAAAGAAAGATCAGGTGACTTTCTTGTCACTGCAAGTTTTACAGTTCAGTCTATAAATGAGGGTAACTATTCACACACACATGCCCAGTAACTGAGGTCTGCCCAGCAACGTAACAGATATTATGTGATCTTACCCCTTTTATGATGATTTGGATTTAGACCTATTGCTGTGAGAGTGTCGTTCTACACGCAAATAGTAGCTCACGTAAAATGACGTGTGCTTACTGGATGGTGCCAGTAAAAACTGAGCCTTGTGGAAAATAAAGCTTAGATAGTAGCTAATTGTAACTTGTGGGATCACAGCAGCAGAACAAGTCAGGAACTGGGAAGTCACGAGACCTTCTCCCTCTTAAGAGAAACAGTAAACTACTCTCATACCGGGACATAGGAGTATTCCACAGGTGTTTGGGTTGGTGCTGGGGTTCCATTATTGCTGTGCAGGTCAATCCTAGTATTAGCCAAACTGTTCACCATTCTACAAAAAGAATCTTTTTTTTGGTTAAAACCCAGAGGTTTTAGGTGTAGCTCGCTACCTGATACTTGTAGAAATGGTGAGATTTTTTTTGACCCTGTTATATAATACATTATTACGGACAAGTTTAGAATCAATAATCTCATCAACTAACTGTGTTTTCGAATAAGGTATAAAGACGACGCAGTCACCAGTGTTGTTACAATAAGGAGGAAGACGCCAATTCCAATAAGACCTGCTAGCTCCAATATTGAATGGCGAAGGTCACCATTAGAGCTGTCAGAGGTAGGTGTCACCTTCTCTTCATTATTATCTGTGAATACAAATTGTAAAATTTAATAATGAGCAAAGAATCAGGTAGCTAGCCTACACTAAACCTTGATCATATTGTATCTCAAGTGGAAAGAAATCACTGTATCCTGCACAGTTGTGGGCTGAGATGTTCACTGACAGTGTAGTATTGTACATGATGTCAAAACTGTAAGTGGGGCCTGGAGTTTCCAACTGTGTGCCGTTGTCCACTTGAATAATGTAGTGATCAATTGGAACTCCTCCTCCATCAAACATATCTCCTAGCTCTAGTACTGCTGTGAAGTATGTCTCCTTCTCTTGGTATGAAGGTAAAGTATTATTCCAATGAGGTATATCTGAAAAGAAAAGTTAACAAGAGCTTAAGCTTCAAGAACATAACAGACCAGCAAAGTAGAAAATGGACGATGACTTGGTTATAACATTATCCTCCATCGGTGTCGCGCAAGTGATGTTTGTCTTATTAGGCAATCTATGAGCTGTGATTGTAAGCGTAGTGGTCATATCTGCATCACTTCCATTATCGTCCTTTGCAGTGACATCTGAGAGGTTGGCAAAAATCACATCCATGTAAACCGTCTCCTGGGATCCAACAGGTTGGCTGGAGGTAAAAGTTATCTGCAGAGCATCCTTCTCAGCGTACAGATCCAGTTCCCACCGAGTAGCAACTATATGGCTGCCATGACAAGTGAAAGTGACTGTCTCATTTGGACAAGCATAAACTGATTCAGGATGCAGAGAAGGCTGGCCAAATATAATCCCTGTGAATAATTATGTAACTACTGAACTAGGTTTATGTTCAGATTACTTTACCTTGTAACAGTAGTTTGCTGAAGAGGATGAGCAGGCGAAGAAACCTCATTATTGCCGGTGCAATAGCGCGAGGCAACTAGACGCGTGCTTACGAGACCAAAACGAAGTCGAACTTTCTTTTACTCGTCCCTCGAAATTTAACTTTCCATTCGTCGCTAAGTTGGGCGTGGGTGCGTGCGAGTACGCGGCGGCGGCTAGCATAGCTATACTCGATTGCACACGCGCATGCGCGGCGAGAACATTCTGTCTGGGCAAGGTGTCGTGCGTAAGATTTTTCCAGAAATCTCAGTAAAAAATGAATGAAGCATAGCTAATAGAGTTAATGGCAGGACATGTCACAGATTTGTAAGTTGAACCAAACAAAAGTAACTGTTTTTTAAATATTTCTTTCAGTGTTTGTCCCAGCCAAAATATTTGTAACATCATAATTATTATTTGTAACATCATGTATATACATGATGTTACAAATATTTGGCTGGGACAAACACTGAAGGGAATATTTTCAAAACCGTCACTTTTGATTTTACTGTTTGGTTCAACTTAAAAACCTTACAAAATAATATTTTCTTTTTCACGCTCTAGCTTAGCAACGGAGCGTTTTCATAGAAAACCGCATTTATTTTCTGACCTTCGTCGCCCGTTGGGTGGATGGTATCATTTCTGGGACGAACAGATGTTCGAGGAGTGAGATATAGAGTAACAGACAGACAGACAGACCCAAAACTACTGTACCCTCGCTGCGCATGCGCACCGAGGGTAACAATGCTGGTGACAGTGTGCATATTGGTTTTATACCTCATTTGAAAAAAAAGAGTTATTTTAGAGTATTTTATTCTAAACTTGTCTATTGAGCCCCTCCTAAAGGAGCCCCCTCCTACTGCACTAAACGTTGTTGTAGTGCCCACCGAGTGCGCGTGCCGCAGAAGGATCTTGGCCAAGTAGTGTATTAGAACGATAATATCGATGTAAGACTCTCCATGGTACAAAACTGGTGGCTATTTATACTAAATGTCTACACTAGGTGCGGGTAGGAAACAGGGTTTACAAAGATGAGGAAAGAGATGTGACTGCATGCCAGTGCTAAGTAGGAAAGGGAAATGATTGAATACATGATAACTAACGTAAATTTCGTTGTGCGTTTTCAACACACAATTCACATCCAAGCTGGTGTTTTAACACACATAAGTATGTTAGTTGTCCAGCATATGACATACTTACTGAATTATGTTCCTTTACTACCCAAATACTGTGTTTACTTGACACACTATGGTGTGTAGTCGGATGTGCTGTTTTACCCCACAAGATTAGTGTGTAGTTGTCCCAGCATAGGACACATGTGTTGCATGCACCTACCTAAATAGTGTGTACTTTCTACTCATCCACATAGAGGGTTTACTTGACACACTATGGTGTGTAGTCGGATGTGCTGTTTTACCCCACAAGATAAGTGTGTAGTTGTCTCAGCATATTGCATGCACCTACATAAATAGTGTACTGTCTATTCATCTGTTAATGACGATGATAGTAGTTTTACATTCAAACTGTATTTGCTCAAAACAACAATTCATTTTGATGTATCAGAGCGTCAGTAGACGCTCTATGTAGGGATGACACGTGTGAAATCTCACGTGATCCGCATACAAAACGCCTCGAAACTCGGCGAAAATGGCTAGCTATGCCTTCAAAACACACCACAAATCACTCACGGGTCCATATCTACCTATACATATGCCCAAAAGTTTCATACGTCCCTGCAATTCTCGACACGAGAATGCGCTCATACGCGATTTCTGATTTTGGTGTCATCATCAGAGCGTCGGTAGACGCTCTATGTAGGGATG